GGAATCTATGACATAAAAATGATCTAAGTAAATCAAAGAAGGAATTGAAAGTATGAAGAGCCTGGGCACAATGACTCATGCCTATAATCCTAGCACTTTGGGAAGCCAAGGCAAGAGGATTACCTGAGCCCAGGAGTTCAAGATCACTCTGGGCAACATAGCGAAACCTCATTTCAACCAAAAAAAAAAAAAAAAAAAATTAGCCGGGCATAATGGCACACTCCTGTAGTCCCAGCTACATGGAAGGCTGAGGCAGAAGGATCACCTGAGCCTAGCAGGTGGAGTATGCAGTAGCCGTGATTGAGCCACTGCACTCTAACCTGGGTGACAGTGTGAGACTCTGATTTAAAAAAAAAAAAAAGAGAAATGAGATATTTATGCAGTTGAGAAATGAGATATTTATGCAGTTTAAAATTACCTTACCACGTAAGTTTTTGTAAGTACAAAAGAGAAATTTTAGTGAAGATAACCAGCAGATACCATCCCAGTCATGTGATTAAACTGATCATCAGCAACAAATCAAAATCATGTGCCAACTGATAGAATATAATGAGAAGAACCAGCACCAGCTCTGTGACATTCCTGACAAAGATGAGTACACTGAATCTAATCACGAGGAAACATCAGACAAAATTTGAGGCATATTCTACATAATACATGGCATATATGTGTATGTATGCATGTACGAATATATACACATATACATGTGTGTGCATGTATGTGTATATATATGTGTGTGTGTACATATATATATATCTAAATATCTATCCATCTCTCTCTCTCTAAATATATATATATATATATATATATATGTATTTTTTTTTTTTTTTTTTTTTTTTGGAGACAGCCCAGACTGGAGTGCAGCAATGTGATCGTAGGTCACTGCAGTCTCATTTTCTTGGGCTCAAACAATCCTGCTGCCTCAGCCTCCAAAGAAACTAGGACTATAGGCACATATCTCCACGTACCATTAATTCTTTCATTTTTATTTTTTATAGAGACAGGGTCTTGCTGTGTTGTCTAGGCTAGTCTCGAACGTCTGGCTTCAAGTAATCCTCCCACTTTAGCCTTCGAAAGTGATGGGTTTGCAGACTGTAATATTTAAATGCACTGAGATCATAAATGGCAAATAAATAATGATGATCTGTTATAGCATTAAGAAGACTAAAGAGATATAACAGTTAAGTTTTCCTTAATTAGATCCTTTTAATAGTTACTGGGACAACTAGCAAAACTGAAATGTGGTTTGAAAATCAAAAGGTGGAAATGTATTGATTTGATTTTTTGATGGTTATTTTATGGTTATGTAGAAGAATGTTCTCATTTGTAAGAAACAGACTAACATGAGAGTAACAGGACATTGTGTCGTGTTGACAACCTATTTTCAAATAGTCCAGAGAAAACACTCATAAGCAAACCCTGAACATTTAATATAATGCTGTAAGAAAGAGGTAATACTACAAAAAAGGGATTGGCAGTTGTCAGAAACTGGCAGGGGAGGGAGAGGACATAGCATCAATAAGGGTACCTGGTCTCAAACTAGAAGAAGTGGGGACCAAAGGTTGCCCAAACTTTACCTGTACGATGTCCACTTACATACCTAATCCTGAAGTGTACCTCACATCTTTAAAACAAAAAAAAATTTTTTTTAATAGTCCAGAGGGGAAAAAATGTGCTTAGTTCTGTGAAAGGCCTTGAGTATACAAGGCTAAATAAGGTAAAATTTTGTTTTTAAAAGAAACCCCAGTATTAATGGAGACAGACAAGTAGACAACAGGAACTTATGTAAATATTGCAAGTATTTTTGTGTGTGTGAAGAAAAAAGGAGACATAATAAACAACCTCTACACTTAAGAAGGTAAAAATATTTCATGTATTTCTTCAAGAAGGAAGAAATTAGGCATTATATGTATGAGCAGTTGAATAGTCCCATACTTAATCATTAATGAATTAAAATTTTCATATAAATGATAATTTGCCTGATACAAACATTAAAAGAAATGAAAAGACATGTGAGTGACTAAAATTCCACTTTCTGGTTTCTCTCCAATCAAGGAACAGCTGGTATGAATAAAATGTTCAATGGTAACAGCTTAGAAAAATTATTCAGGGCGAAAAGCTAAGATTACCCAAATGGTGGTGGTTGCACAATAATGTAAACTGTTAACACTGAACAGTACACTTTAAAATGGTTACAATGGTACATTTTTTTTTTGTATGTTACCACAATTTTTTTAAAAACTAAGATTTTCAAATTTAACTGCAGAATAAAATAATTGAGATGAAGAAATGTGCAAACCCATCTCATGTCTGTAATTTTTTCTGAACTGTGGAAATGTGAATACAAAGAGTAGAAAAAAATATACAGTAAAGGACAAAGTTTCAAGATTTAGACATTTTAATTAAAGCTGCTTAACAAACTCAAACAGAACTTGGACTATGAACGTGCCAAGATACAACCAACCAGTAAGTTGGGTTTTCCTTTAGATATTAATTAGCAATAAAAATACATAGCTACTAAAAACTATTAATCTTTAAATGTGAGAACTCAAATAAAAAAATGTTGAGCAAGATCCTTTTTTAAATCTTCAGAACTCCGATGCTAGGGCAATAACTGAAAAATATATAATACTACATTATTTAAAAACAAAATCATCTATATAAATATATAGGGGATTTTAAGGTGGTGCAACAAATTGCAGTGTTACACGAAGCAAGACAACTGTGGGTGCAAAGAGGTTAATGGGCAACTTTGATGTTCTGTTTCATGTACTTTAAGATTATCTCAAATTAAATTCCTAAATGTTTTTATGTATTACTCGCAAAATGAAAAAAAAGATACTAGAACTAGAGCAAAACAATAAAATAAAAAAAGAAAGAAGATATTTTTAAAAAGACTATAGCTATCACTATTGCAGTTACACTGTTTTATTGTATTTTATTTTAATTTTTTTTGAGTCAGGATCTCACTCTGTTGTCCAGGCTAGACAGTGCAGTGACATGATCATGGCAATCATGCTTTATAGCAGCCTTGATCTGCTGGGCTCAGGTGATCCTTCCACTTCTGCATCACAAGCAGCTGGGAATATGGACGCATACCACCATGCCTGGCTAATATTTTTTTATAGAGACGAGGTTTTGCTATGTTGCCCAGGCTAGTCTTGAACTCCTAGGCTCAAGCAATCCTCCTGTCTCAGCTTCCCAAAGTGCTAAGATTACAAGCACATAAGCCACCATTCCCAGCCTTTATTTTATTTCATTTTATGTTTTTTTGAGTTGAGGTTTCACTCTGTTTTCCTGGGCTAGAGTGCAGTGGCATGGTCACAGCTCACTGCAGCCTCGACTTCCGGGGCTCAGACAATCCCACCTCCTCAGGTTCCCAAGTAGGTAGGACTAGAGGCACATGCCACTATGCCTGGCTTATTTTTTTATTTTTTGTAGAGATGAGGTCTTGTTATGTTGCCTAGGCTGGTCTTGAACTCCTGAGTTCAAACAGTCTTCCCGCCTCAGCCTCCCAAAGTGCTGGATTACAGGAATGAGCCACGGTTACAAAATATTTTAGAGTTCTAAGCCAATGTAATAAGATAGAAAAATAAAAGTACAAAAAGTTAAAAATATAATTTTTCAGAAAATATATTCTACTTAGAAAACAAAAGAAAATGTACTGAAAGGTTATTTAATCTTACAAGAAAATCTAGCAAAGCAAGATGACACAAATTCTACACAAAACCATTAATAGTTTTTGACATACCACAGCAATGACTAATTTTTAAATGTAACAATTTCTAAATGCAAAACATCTACAATGTAACAATGTCAGTTCTAACTGTATTGAAATGTAATTTCAAAGCAATGCAAATAATTATATCTTATTTCATTATGTAACTGAACTGAATCACTCTAAAATACAGCTGGCCAAGTTTTTGAAAATGAACAATAAGTCATGCTATAAAGTTAAAGTAAATAAAAAAGCATACTGCTGGTGAAGGAGCTTGTTTTATTTTTATTTTCTGTTAGAAAAATTTCAAACATACACAAAAGTATATAGAATGCTTTCATGAACCAACTACATGAATATCACAATTTGCTACTACTACATGGATAAATGCACTTTGTAAATCTTTTTTACTTTGTCTCATTGTTTCACAGAATATTTTAAAGCACATTAGACATACATCCTTAAACTTGTAAATAATTCAGGATATATGTCTAACAAAAAGATTTTTAAATAAATATATGTAACACTATAAGCCAAGCGTGGTGGCTCACACCTGTAATCCCAGCACTTTGCCTGAGCTCAGGAATTTGAGACCAGCCTGGGCAACTTGGAGAGACCTCATCTCCATAAAACATAAAAATATTAGTAGCATGTAATGGTGCACACCTCTAGTTCCAACTACTTGGAAGGCTGAGGCAAAAGGATTACCTGAGTTCAGCAGGTCAAGGCTGCAGTAGCTGTAAACATGCCACTGCACTCCAGCCAGGGAGACAGTGAGACTGCAACTCAAATAGTTAATAAATAGTGTTGGAGAAAGATGTGCCCAATTGTTTCTCACTAGCCACTGTGAAATGCCTCCACTATATCCATATACTCATATGTACTATGAAAATATTTTTGTATATACATAAATATGTGTGTTTACATGTATATGTGTATGTATACATGGACATACATATTTATGAATATAGAATCAAAATCCCTTGCAAAAGGTCTAGAGAGACAGATAGCAAATGAATGACAAGGGTTTATCTCTGAGTCAAAAATGGTATTAGGTTGGGAGGAGCAAGATAAACAGGATTGTTATCAAAATTCATTAAGTTTTTTAAACAATAAGGTATTCACTTAGAGCTTATGTGTTTACTGGGTCAAAATGGGCTTCTTCCTAATTATCTAATCCACTCTATTATAGAGAGCAAGTTCCAATATGACGTAAATGACCAACTAGAATAAATGTCATATTACACAAAGAAATTGCCTTCTGAAAAAATATGCAGCTTACTTTGGCTTCAGTTTCTCCCCTGTGAAGAGTGTATAGATGATGGACAGCACTTTGTGATGAGGACCAAGGATGGGTCAGAATTTGAAAGACATGAAAGTCGTGGCCAAGGGTGTCTGTTGTGACTAGAAGCATTCCTAGAAGACAAAAAACAAATAGTAAAAATAGAAATGATTATGTATGTGGAGGAAATATTTTCAAAAGCTACTCAATCTATTTTAAAATATTGCTGAAGGAAAAAAATTTACCAAAGCTATAAGAAACCTTACAAGAAAACAAAACTATAAAAAAGTTAAAACAAAATAGCTTTTTCCTGTGAATATCAAACTTAGTACCATTATCAGTAATATAAGCAAGGTGTAAACACTGCATGCAAATGTATTAAAACATTCCTTTAAGAGTAGTAGATGTTTTTACATGCCTGAATTTATAAAATCCAAAATCATTTTATAAAACAAAGAGCATAAAAATAGCATACCTCTGTGGAACTAAAATCCACTTCTTTTTGTAATTTCTTCAAACCTGAATTCTAAGTTCTAGTTATTTACTGATCCAACTACTAATTCCCCCACTTAATTCACCAGTTCCAAATTTGTCTCTACCATGGCATGTTATTTATTGAAACTGCCTACAGTGTCTTTCACAGAGAAAGATCTTAATTTTGGTGAGATGTCACAGCTAAGAATTCTTTGCCTAACCCAAGGTGATAAAGATTTTGTTTTATTGTAAAAGTTTCATAATTTGATGTTTTACACTTAGGCCTATGCCTATCATCCATTTTGAATTAATTTCTGTATAAAGTGTGAAGACCTTATACAAAAGTCAGGGTGTTACACAAAAGGTGGACAAGGTTAACTTTGTTACGTAGGATGTCCAGTTGTTCCAGCAAGATTTCTCCAGAAGACTGTTCTTTCACCAATTAACACTGTCAACTTGCCAAAGAGCAATTGGCCATTTTGGGTAAGCCTACTTCCGGAAACTTTGTTCTATTCCATCGATTTCAGTGTCTATACATTCACAAATAATGTATTTTTGATTACTATAACTTTATATAAAATCTTGAAATCATGTAAAGCAAGTCTTCCTTTTTCAACATTATTCTCATTCAGGATTTCTGAAGAATTATAATAAGTGCATAAATTAATATGGGGATAATTGACATCTTAATACTGAATCTTCTGAGCCATGAACACTGCACACTTCTTGATTTTTATTTTGACTTTTTTTGTTCAGCACAAAGATATTGAAAACATTTTCATAGATTACATAATAATGTTATTAAAATTTCAATTAAAAATTTTCCTTCCTACTATATACAGATAAATTTGATAATGCTTGCCTTGACTGTATATGGTTCTAGGAACTTTTTGCAGGGCACATGCATTTTTTTATGACAATCATGTAGTCTAGAAATAGACACAATTTGAATGCTTCCTTTCTAATCTGCATGCCTTTTCTTCATTTTTCTAACTTCCTGCATTTGCTGAGGCAAATAAGAATGATGAGAAAAGATATCCATGCCTTTATCCATGTCTTAGGAGAAAAGCATTCAAACTTTAAGTATGACATAAGCTATAGATTTTTTGTAAAAAGTTCCTTAACAAATATACTGAGAGCTTTCTTTTTTTTTCTTCTCTCTTTTAATTTTTATTTTGAAATTGTGGGATACAATTCAGGGTTAAGTATACAAATGTTCATTGTGCAGGTACCTTTATTTTTGAGGTGTGCCCCCGCTTCCCCAAGAGGATATCGACTACTGTCAATCCCAGCTACCCATCCCCCATCCCCTGCCCCGCAGTTTCCCGCTACTTTCAATCCCTTTCCTACAGTAATACGGTAGTTGTTCACGGTCCACTTATGAGTGAGAACATGTAATACTCAGCACTTTGTTTCTGTGAGAGATCACTCAATATTATAAACTATAATTCCATCCACGTTGCTGCGAAGTTCATGATTTTGTTGTTCTGGCTGCGTAATATTCCATTGTATATATGTACCACATTTTTTTTATCCAGTCCTCTTTTGATGGGCAGTACGGTTGGTTCCATGTTCTTGCTATTGTGACCAATGCTATGATAAACATACGTGTACAGGTATATTTCTTATAGAGTGACCTGAGTTCTTCTGGGTATATTCCCAGTAGGGGGATTGTGGGGTCATATGGAAGGTCAATTTTTAAAACTTTTAGGAATCGCCACACTGATTTCCACAGAGGCTGCACTAGTTTACCCTCCCACCAACAGTGGTCACATCCTCTCCAGCTTCTGTTATTTTTTGAGTTATTGATGATGGCCATTCTGACTGGCGTTAGGTGGTATCTCAGTGTAGTTTTAATTTGCATCTCCATGATGGCTAGTGAGGTTGAACATTTTTTCACGTGTCTGTAGGCTGCTCATATGTCTTCTTTTGCGAACTGTCTATTCATATCTTTATCCCACTTTATAATGGGGCTGTTTGTTTTTTTCTTTTCAGCACGTTTGAGTTCCTTGTAGGTCCTTGATGTTATTAGGCCTTTGTCAGACATGGAGTTGGCAAATATTTTTTCCCAGTCTATAGACTGTCTCCCTGCTTTCTTGGTGGTTTCTTTGGCTTTGTAGAAGCTTGTCAGTTTAATGAGGTCCCACTTGTCTATCTTATCTCTTATGACCTGGGCACTTCGGGTTTTTATCAGGAATTGGTTGCCAGTTCCAATTTCCATAAGAGTGTCCCCTCCATTTTCTAAGGTTACAAGAGAATCTGCCAAAAACCTCTTGGCACTGATAAAGGACTTTGGCAAAGTCTCAGGGAATAAAATAAATGCACAAAAGACAATCACATTTCTATGCACCAATAATAAGCAAACAGAAACCCAAATAAAAGCACAATTCCATTTACAATAGCCACCAAAAAATGAAATACCTTGGCATTTTCCTAACCAGAGACATAAAAGACCTTTACAATGAAAACTACAAAACACTGCTCAAAGAAATCAAAGATGACACAAACAAGTGGAAAAATATCCCATGCTCATGTATTGGAAGAGCCAACATTGTTAAGATGTCCATTTTACCTAAGGCAATCTACAGATTTAATGCAACACCCATCAAAATACCAGCAACATTCTTCTCAGACCTAGAAAAAATAATATAGGAATTCACATGGAAACATAAATGACCAAGAATAGCCAAAACAATTCTTAGGAAGAAAAAAAAAAAAAAAAGCAGGCGGTATCACACTCCCAGACTTTAAACTACACTGTAAAGCTACAATAATCAAAACAACCTGGTACTGCTCCAAGAGCAGGCATATAGATCAATTGAATAGAATTGAGATTCCAGAAGCAAAACCTCAATTTCTCAACCAACTCATCTTCAACAAAGCCTCCACCACCCACTACTAAGAAGAGGAGAAACTATTCAGTAAATAGTGCTGGGAAAACTGGTTGACCACATGCAGAAGATTGAAACAGGACCCCTACCTATCCCCATACACAAAAATTAACTCTAAATGGATCACAGACCTAAATATAAAACCTCAAACTATGAGAGCTTTCATAATGAAAGGATGTTAAATTTTTCAAATGCTCTTCTGTATCTACTAAAACGCATATATGATTTTCCTTCTTTAGTCTATTAATATAGTAAATTTTAACAATTATTTATTATCAAATGTTAAAAAATCTTGCATGCCTAGGATAAGCCCCATTTGGTCAAAACCATTTATGATATGCTGCTAGAATCAATTTGTTAATATTTTCTTGGAGACGTTTGTATTCCTGACAAATACTGGTTTAAAGTTTTCTAACAATGTGTTTGTCTAATTTTGGTATTAGAGTAATGCAGGCCTCAAAGAACAAACTAAGAAAAGTTCCTCACTTTTACTAGGGGAAAAAAAAACATGCAAAATTGCTACTTTTTTTCTTTAAATGTTTGACAGAATTTTCCAGTAAAAATATTTGCACCTATTTTTGAAGGTTTTTCACTACCATTACACTTTTTTAACTTAAGCATTGTTAAAATTTAAATTTTTTTGTTTGGTGAATAACTTTTTGTAATTCAAGGAACTGCTGCTTTTAAAAATCTGTAGGGACTTTAATGATATCCACTTTTTCATTCAGGATATCGGTAATTTGTGTTGTCTTTTTTTTTTTTTTTCCTTGATCAGTCTATCTAGTTTTTTTGTTGTTGTTGCTGTTGTTGTTTTTTGAGTTGGAGTCTCACTCCATTGCCCAGGCTGGGGTGCAGTGGTACACTCCCAGTCATTCCAGCATTGACCTGCTGGGCTTCAGCGATCCTTCCCCCTCAGCCTTCCAAGTAGCTGAAACTACAGAAGCGCACTACCATGAACGGCTAATTTTTTAAATTTATTTATTGTAGGCGAGACCTTACCAAGTTGCTTGGACTGGGTCTCAAACTCGCGGGCTTAGCAACCCACTCACCTTGGCCTCTCAAAGTGCTGGGATTATAGGCTGAGCCACTGAAGCTGGCCCTATCTAGATCTTTTTAAGGGAACCTATTTTGGTTTCATAATTTTGTTTTCCTCTTTTCAATTTTATTGATTTCTGCTCCCATATTTATTATTTTCTTTATTCTCCTTGTCTCAGGTTTATTTGCTCTTTCTTTTTTCAAGTGTCTTAAGGGACTAAATTAGATTGTTTTAGGGACTTCCTTATTTTCTAAACTAATCATATATTGATATAAATTTCCCTCTAAGCTTGCTAAATCTAACAGATTTTTATACTGCATTTTCATTTACATTCAGTTCTACATGTTTCCTAGAGACATCTTATGTTGCTCATGGATTATTTAAAGGTATGCTGTTTAGATTCCAAATATTTGGGTATTTTCCAGATATCTTTTTGACCCTGTTGCTAGTGTAATTTCCTTATGACAAGAAGGTACTTCTTTTAAATTTGTTCAAGCTTGCTTTATGGCTCAGAATATGATATACTTTGTTCCATATATACTTGATCACCTGAAATGTTCTATAAATGTCAATTAAGTCAAGTTAATTAACAGTGTTGTTGCATCTTTAATATCCTTACTGACTGTTTGCTTTCTTGTTCAACTACCAAGTAGGAGTTACAATCTCCAAGTATAGTTGTGGATATGTTTGTTTTTCCTTAGCTATATCAGTTTTCTAAATTTTAGAGCAAGCT